AAAAAGCAAAAAAGCAAAACCTTATAACAAACTTTTTTTTTTTGCCAGACCTTAAAAATAGAAGCGTGTCCTCAACATGTATAGTATTTGGCTTTCTGTTATAGTATACTTTACTTCACTGGGATTAGTCATATATTAAGGTAATAATATTAAAATATTCTTAAGCATGATTTTATAAACATATATGTAGCTTAATTTTGTTGCCTATTTGTTTACAGTCAACTTTTGCATATAATGGGTTACATGACAGAACAAGAGCTTATTTTGAGAGATGAGAATTGATATGTAAGATGTAAATGTATCATTTCACTTGATTTGTTGAAAATTAGAGGAATGATATTACTCTTTGGTATGATGCTGCTGAGATGATATTTAGAAATTGTATTATATTTTTTCTCCATGTGTGAGCAAAATATATTTGATTTGGCCAGATGGAAATTAGAAATATAATTAAGAGTTAGCTGAAGCAAGTTTGACATAACTAAATAGAAGTGACTTAGTTAGATAGTATCTGCCAATATGAAAAAAAAATTAAGTATATGTAGGGAATTGGAAAATGTAACTGTGTAGGAATGAAATTACTTGCATGGCAAATAGAAGTCTTTGCAGAAAACGTGAATCATGAATGTAAATTATGGTCATTTTTCAGAATGTAGACATGCTTTTCGTGGATTGAATGATTGATTCTTGGTTTTTCATTCATTAGACATCTTTTGGTGCAGTGTATATGCTTTACAGGTGGTTCAGTAGAAATAATATTGGTTGAAACTACCTTCTCTGAGTTCCTTTTACTGCTTTGCCAATTACCATTCCTGTAGTAGATGCTTGGTGAATATTTGTATATTGAATAAAATATCTTTATGGGTTGGAGGCTGGTTATTTAACATTCTGTATCTTGATTTTCTTATCTGTCCTATGTAAATAATGTGTACCTTTCATATCCATGTTTAAGTATGAAATATAATAGATTTTAATGCTAGATAAAACATAATTAGAATTAGGGACTTCTTTCTGCTTCTCATCTTGATGAAGTTACCTTTTGCCGTAAGCAACTTAGGTAGTCAGCACAGTCAGCTGAGAAAAAAGACCACACTAGGTGAGCTCCACCTTCATCCCTGTATCTTTCTGAGGGATACTTTCCAAATTATTAGCCCTTTGGTCAGATATAAAGCTATGTACAGCACAAGGCTTAGCAGAAAACAGCTACTTTGGAACTGTGAGTTGAATGAAGATTTCAGAAGTTGGAAAATTCTCAGCAGTGTTGGAGCTCAGACCAGCCAGTGTGGGGAGAACTTGCTGAACATACTGCATTTTCAGCTGTGACCTCAGAAAGGTAACGCCTTATGAGTAGGGCCATTCTAGGAGTAGAAGACAGGTTACGATAGATCTCATGCAACAAAGCCTCAAACAAGGCCTCTATTTTATCATCTCGATCCACCTGTAAATTTATTGTCTGATAGAACAAAACTCTCTCTAAAGTAAGACAACATAATCCAGTTTCTCTATAACAAAGCACCCGCAATGTCTAGCACAGAATTAGCATGCTTGCTAAAAACCCAGAAAATGTGACTCTTAACCAGGATAAAAAAGTTGATAGACATAAATATCTCGCCGGGCACAGTGGTTCAAGCCTGTAATCCCAGCACTTTGGGAGGCCGAGGCGGGTGGATCACAAGGTCAAGAGATCGAGACCATCCTGGTCAACATGGTGAAACCCCATCTCTACTAAAAATGCAAAACATTAGCTGGGCATGATGGCGCGTGCCTGTAATCCCAGCTACTCAGGAGGCTGAGGCAGGAGAATTGCCTGAACCCAGGAGGCGGAGGTTGCAGTGAGCCGAGGTTG